GTTACAGGTGCATAAGGGACGTCGCTTCAGTGAAAGAGAAAAGAACCACCTTCACCCCAGTGAAGTACAACCAAGAAGGCGCAGTATAAGCACCCCATGTTCCATAAACAGCGATATTAATTCTGATAATACAGACATTCTACGAGGAGATTCTCGATTTACAGATGCAGCAAGGAAGCTGAGTAAGGAGGAAATGGCTTTATTGTACCAAGACATAGTTCAGCCTGTGGATGTGTATTCGATTTTGATTGAAAATCGGAAAAAGATGACAGGTCGTCGTCTTAAGTGAACTTTACTGTTAACTCTGATGAATACCTTGTTGTTTCTCTTCATTTACGACAGTTTTAACTGAATCGATAAATAATGTATTTTCAACATTTGCGTTTAGTTTAAATTTATCGATGCTTTTTTGTGTGTATCAACTTTTATATTTGGGACCCGCTGGCGTTTTGAGACCACAAAAACTATGTTTTTGCTCGTACGTTAAAACAAAAGAAATGTATTTTTAAGTTTTACGCGCCCGTATTGGGTTAACCTGTTGAAACCCCCTTCATGTTCAACTTTTTGGCGAACATAAGTATCAAAGTATGGTCGCAATCGCTATTTGCCAACAACAACCCATTTAATAATTATTTTCTAAGTTTAATTGTATCTAAAAGTAAGTAACAAGGCATGTGACATAGCGTGTAAGTTAAAGAGCATGACTCTCTCACATGATGTATTTTGCTTTAATTTGATAAGAGGCGAGCTAGCTAATAGGGACGACGAAACAATAAATTTTAAGAACACCTTCCAGTACTTTAATAATCAAAGAGTTACAAATATCCTGATGGTACTTGAAGGCAGTCTCGATCTGTCTCCAACCTAATTTAGTTCACTGTTAATGCTGGTATTAAGTTGACCAAGACACAAATATATCTCGGGGGGAACTCGAGCAATATTTGGGTATAGGTGAGCCGCTGACGGTTTTTAGACCTTGACCCTGTTAAGGATAAAAAAATTCTAAAATGCATACTCTGTTCAGGACAACACCCTCATTTTTATTACCCTGTTTAGGGACAAAAGACAAATGCACGCCGTCTTGTTTTTAAGCCATTTATTGGCAATTGCAGTAGAGCGAATTTAACGTTATAGTCATTACTTTTGTATACTTGGAGTACAAACAAATTTCGTCCTGTTTATAATTAGGACAGACTGGCAAAAAATTATATACCCTGTTTAGGACAGACTAGGGCGAAAGTATATACCCTGTTTAGAATAGAGAGGTCAAAAACCATACCCTGTCCAGCGGCACCCCCGTATAAGCCATATAAGGAAGTACCCTCCCCCGGGCAAACATATTCATTGTTGCTCAGCCAGTTTGACAAGACATATCGATCGCTCATCCGTAAGCATTGGTTTGTAAATAGCGAGATGAGGCCAACGTCTCTATTACCTCCCAAAAAGGCCTTTAGTGAAATACCGAAAAATAGTTTAACATAGCTGGTTGGCTTAGTTGGGAGAGCTCCGGTCTGCCGAGCGGGAGATCGCAGGTTCAAACCCCGGCCGGAACAACACTCAGGGACTTTAAATAACTGAGAAGAAAGTGTTGCCCTTGTAATGACATCAGCTGCAAATGGTTAGATTTTCTAGTCCTCTCGGATAACGACGAAAAACCGTAAGACCGGCCTCACAGCACTTTTACTGATTTGTTCTTGTTGGACGTAAAAGAACCCACATCTCTATTCGAAAAGAGCAGCGGTTGTAGACCACGGTGGTGTGGCCAACCTTTACGGGTTGTGGGATTGGGTAGGGATGGCACCTCGCATGGACCTGAGTCCCGTTCGTGCACATTCCTTCTGGGCTGGCCTGTGTCCAGAAAAGCTGGTAAATAAATAAATATAGATATATTTACTTACCAGGACTCATGTTTGGACTTCATTTGGCTAGGTCTGGTTTTGAGTTAAGTGAACTGAATAAAGGTCTTTGAAAATGTAATTGCGCTTGTGGGCTATTTAAGTCAAGCGAATTTTTACACCCATTTTGCTCTTTATTGCTATTAATCAATAATGATATATACTCTATTTATACTGCAAAAAAAAGATCAGCTGATTATAAAAACAAAAACAAACAAACAAAAAACAACAACTGATATAAACCTATCTGCAAATAATAAAATATTTCAAGATTAAAAACAATAGTATATGGTAAAAAAAAGGGGAAAGACTAATACACTAAAAAAAGGTGTAAAAAATAAATTTCTCTTGAAGTCCTACAACTGCGTCCAGATCTCAAGGTCAAATAATTCTGAAGTTGCTGTATGTCATGCTAAATAACATCAAACCCTTTTCTCCGTCTAGAAAAACGCAAACTGACTGACCATAGTCAATAGCAAACCTCCAGGAGTCTACTACTTTTGAGCAATGCCACAGTTGTCGAAGAAAAACTTGGAGTAGGCGAATTAATGCTGTTTTATGAGACCGACTTCGTGTGCAAAATTTCGTTATAGTTCGGTATTAACCAAAGACTCCATGATCTTTGAAATACAGGGCAGTACCGAAATAGGCCGATAATTGTCACAATCGGTTAGTGAGCCTCCTTTGAAATGTAGTGTTACCCTAGCTGTTTCACAGACGGATGGAAATTGACCAATGCGAAGCGATTCATGAAAGGTAAGACAGACGCTGCCAAATGTTTGGTGCTGCTACTTTATCTTTTGGTTCATTTTCACGACACTTTGCAATGTTTTCTGCCAAGGAATGTTTACGCAAAGTTTATAGAATTCATCGCGATTAATAGTGATAACGTTTCCAGTTTAACCTTGGTTACCCTGCATGTAGCAAATTCCGTATGTTTTACCAGACATAATGGGAAATTGCTGTGGTGCATTTGATAACGTTTCCAGTTTAGGCCAGGATTACGCTGGAGCGAATTCTGTTTGTTTTACCAAAACTTTTGTCAACATTAGAGCTTTTCCTAATGAGACCCCTTTATGCAAATATCGTCGTGCTTGACATGTAGAATAACACATTAACAAGTACTTCGCTTCATTTTATCCACAAGATTTACTTCTATCATTTAAAAGGGGTTGAAAGAAATGTGCATTTTCCCCCTAAATAGCTCTGATCAAAACATTCTCAGTTTCGAGAATATTTTATTCTAAAAAATAAGAAAAGATTTGATTGGAAGTTGGAACTTTTCGCTGTTTCTCTTTTACTTTTTACATACAGTTCATTTTATAGGGCGGAAAGTAAGCCTCAGAAATTAAAAGGTTTGATCAATTCACGCTCGCGTGTTCCAGTCTTTTTTTGACTATAAAAACAGTACTTAAAAAAAGCTTTATGCAAGGAAATCTGTGAGCAGGGAAGATGTCAGCAAAGAACCAAATTGTCGGCGTTTCTTCTAGCTGTAATCGTCCATTGTTCTCCTGGTGATAAGCTAGCCGTTGATTCACTTGTCTTGCTTTTTTGTGGAATTAGTCTTAGTCCCCTAAAGAGAGAGAAAGAGTGTCTGGCAAATTGTTTCCAATCAAAGAGTTGTGATTTGTGAAACTCGTGTCTGGCAAACTCTCCAAGTGTTTATATATACACAGTTATGCGCACCTTATAACTTCATCTGTGCCTAGCGACTGCCTAAACAGCCGCTCCACAGAATGTCACTGACAACACGTAACGCAAAAGCGGAATATCGAATATCTAAGTATGATAGCGGTCCCTCGGCAATTTTCTGCTCAACGTCATCCTAACCATCTCTTACTCTCGGGCGTGAACAATAGAAACGTCAACATTGCCCAACGATTCCATGCCGCCCCTGATAAAAAAAATGGAGATTTTTTCTGGCGTACTGACTTTATAGAACGCATAATGTAAGGCATAACCCTTAGAGGTCGAACGCGAAACACCTGGATCCGACAAGAACCTGGCGTAAATGACATCATCAACGCTATCAGGGTAGCAAAGCATAAATGGGCAGGTCACATTGCACGGCTACCTGATAACCGTTGGATCATCAGAGCAATAGAGTGGACCTCAAGAGATTAGACTACAAAATAGTGTCGTCTAAAGACAGGATGGATAGACGATCTCACCATACAGTTTGCACCCTTATGGTCAAGATTAGCCAAGCACTGCAGACCCCTGCGGGATCGATTCAGGGAAGGGGTTCCTCTGTCAAGAGTGAATACAAACCCTGATGATGATAACTGACTGTATATTTCAACTGTAAGTTTATTTCTATAATAAGCGCGAGCTACTAGGATGCCTCCTCGCGTTTTCGCCCTCTGGGCGATATCCCTACGGGGGCAATAGTACACTTTGCGCAATGATGGGTGTGCCTGGTAATGTGACTTAAAGAAGCACAGTTGTAAAGCTTCCTATATTTCACCAACCTCACGTCATGCTTCCTATTTTCTAAAGGAAACGCCCTGGGCACGAGGTTGATCTTAAGTAAAAATGAAAGGCCTAGAAGATACTAAAAAGAGTGTGCAGGAATAAATGATAAAAGCGCAAAATTGAGTAAAGAGCCTTGAGTAACTGGGAATGTTTTACAGGTCCGGCCACTGAAGCTATTGCTTTATAGTCGAGGTCTTGCCCTTTTGTTCTAGATATCAGTGGAAGAAAAAACCCGTTGCCGTTGCCGTGACAATAAATTGTTGACTGACAACGCCTTGGTTACAAGTGTCAATTTGCTCTAGAAATAGCAGGACGGATATCAGTGAGGAGCAAATTACGCAACATTCCGAATCTTATAAGGAGTTGTAAATCACATACAAAAGCATTTTTTTCCAATAAAATCATTGCTCAATATTGGTCGCAGCCTGAAGTACCGCATCCAATAAATTGTTGACTGACAACGCCTTGGTTACAAGTGTCAATTTGATCTAGAAATAGCAGGACGGATATTAGTGAGGAGCAAATTACGCAACATTACGAATCTCATAAGGAGTTGTAAATCACATGCAAAAGCATTTTTTCCAATAAAATCATTGCTCAAAAGTTGGTCGCAGAGTGATTATTGCAGTCATGAGCATAACAATTCAGTTGGAAGATTTTCAAAGCTGGTCAGAAGTTTTTGCTGAAATAGAAAGGCAATGCAACATGAGGTTATTTGAGATCATAAAGCCTAACACATCTGCCATTCACGACAGAGAGAAGAAAAAGAGAGCGTTCATTGAGGTGCATGAGGGACGTCGCTTCAGTGAAAGAGAAAATAGATGCCACATCCCAACAGAAGAACGGTCGCGTGTACGGCTTAGAAGCGCACCATGCACTGCTATCAATGAAATGAACACTGAAAATCCCGAAAATCTACAGCGAGATCCTCGATTCACAGATGCAGCCAAGAAGCTAAGCAAGAAAGAAATGGCGTTATTGTACGAGGACATAGTTAAGCCTCTTGATGTCTTTTCCATTTTGATAGAAAAACGGAAAGAGATGAGTGAGAGAAAATGAGTGAACTCCCTATTGAATCTGAACTTATGTCTGCATTTAGTTATATTTTCTCTAAAATATTTAATATAAATCAGAAAAAGCATTAATTTCGAAGAAGAAAAACACTCGAGTAATAATAATCAGTGAAATAAAAGGTTTTAATTGAAACTTGGAAAATACAATGTAATACCTTTTCCTTTCTTTTAAGAAAAATAATACTACCTAATATGATGTGTTGACATAATGTGCATTCAGTTTTTAATCCCGGCCATGTCGGATCGATCTGTATACAAAATTTTAATTAGAGCCCAGGGGCACGTTTCTTGAAAGGCCCGGTAACTTATCTTTTCGCGCCCGGAAGAAAATTTTAAAATTAAAACTTGTTGAATAGTAGCACAGATCCTAACTCACAAATCAGTCAGTTTCGTTTTGTTAACTGGTAGTTTCATCTATCATTTTCAAATTATTGAAGCATTGATCTTGAATAGAAACACACACAAATATAAACAGCTTTCTGCGCCCGGAAAGTTATCGGGACTTTCGAGTAACGAATGCGATGGCCCGCGCGTTTGAAAATTTAGAAGTAAACTATACATTTGTTATGAATTTTTATTGTGACAACCTAAATTATCAAGTTTTTTGAAACTACAATTCAGACTCCTCGGTGTATATTTTACTGCGCTTGTGAGCTTTTTTAAGCTACGTGACCATATATTTTGGTTCCTTAATTTTAACGACACTTTGCAACTATTACTTGTGATTTATTTTGTTCTCTGCCAAGGACTGTTCATGCAAAGTTAATAGAATTTTAAAATCGTGATAAATATAGATGACTTTTCCACGCTACAGCGAGACCGGCAAAAAAAGATCAATGGTGTGAAAAGTACTGTATCCAACAAACTGTTGACTGGAAACGCCTTGGTTACTAGTCTCAATTTTATCTGGATGAAAAGACTGACATCACTAAGGAGCAACTTGCGCAACACTCCGAATCTTGTAAGGAGGTGTCAATCACATGAAGCAGCACTTTTTCCAACGAAATAATTATAAAAGCTTGCATCATTTGCACGCAGAGTGATTATTTCAGTCATGAGTGTAACAATTCATCTGGAAGATTTTCAAAGCTGGTCAGAAGTTTTTCAAGAAATAGAAAGACAACGCAACATCAGGTTGTTTGAGATCATACAGCCTAACCCATCTGCTATCCGCTACAGAGAAAAGAACAGAGGATCGTTCTTAGAGGTGAATAAGGGACGACGCAGATTCAGTGGAAGAGAAAATAGATGCCACATCCCAACAGAAGAACAGTTGCGTGTACGGCTTAGAAGCGCACCATGTTCCACGATCAGTGAAATGAACACTAATAATCCCGAACATCTACAGAGAGATCCTCGATTTACAGATGCAGCCAAGAAGCTGACCAAGAAAAGAAATGGCATTTTTGTACGAAGACATAGTCAAGCCTCTTGATGTCTACTCCATTTTGATAGAACAACGGAAAGAGATGAGTGAGAGACCATGAATGAACTTTACCATTGACAATGAACTGAAGTCTGCATTTAATTATTTTCTCTAAATATAAAATGATAAAAAGCATTAATTTACTAAGAAGGAAAATACCCTAGTAACAATAATCCGGCAGTAAAATACAACGGTTTTAATTGAAGCTTGGAAAAAATGCATGTCACTCCTTATCTGTTTCTATTAAGAAAAATTAAAACATCACTAAGAATATGTGTTGACATAATGTGTATTTAGTTTTATCCCGGCCGTGTCGGATCGATCTGTATACAAAAAATGTAATTAGAGACCAGTGGGGCACGTTTCTCAAAAGGCCGGAAGACAAATTTTAATTAAATCAAAACCTGTTGAATCACAAACCAATAAATTTTGTTTCGTTTACTGAAAGTTTCATTGCATCATTTCAAGATTTTTGTAGCATTGATCTTATATAAATGCAAACACGACAATTATACAACTGCTCTCCGGGCCGAAAAGTTACCGGGTCGACTTTTGAGTAACGGACCCGATGGCGAAATCATATATTTATGTCTCTTTTTTCCCGAGCCTTTGAAAATATAGAACCAAACTGTACATTTGTTATGAATCTTGATTTTAACAACCTAGATAATCAAGAAGTGTTATAGTTTATCTATTGACATATAAACAAAAACAAAAAAGCAAACAACAACATTTTATTTCGTTTTTAAAAAAACAATATTTCAAACATTGACAACCCGCAGTTAGTGTAGCTAATCGAGGCTGTTTGTCAGAAATAAGAACAAAAATTAACATCGCTCCTAGTAATATGACTGAAAGAAAAACTTATTTTATGGACTTTGTAATACAAACAGTTAGTTGAAAAAATATATATAAACCACTGTACGATTTAACACATCCAAAAAATTCGATCACTTTTAGAGGATCTTCGCGAGATCGTTGGTGAGTGAGCGGTTACGTGGCTGGCACACCATGTCTAGAGTATTTCGTTTATCGAGCAACGAAAAAAAAATCATGGCGAAAATCTTTTCTTGATCATTGATTTTGATCATTGGTGATGTCCTCGTGGCGCCAAATTGGCATAGTAAACCACAGGCGACCCAGGCTAAGCGTCTGAATCACATACTGAAAAAATATGTATGTATTGTTTGTGGGGTAAAGTTCCGATGCTTGAGAGTAGGAGAGAATCTTGGGAACGAGGTTAAACGGGCGGTGCCGTGTAACGTGTGGTATCCAACGAACTGTTGACAGACAACGCCCTAGTTACAAATCCTTTAAGAGGCGGATAAAGGGACAGAAACCAGTAAGGTGTGCACGTTGCGCAATGTCTTTAAACGTACTGGGGCGTTTAATGAGCCGCTAGTCACGTTTAAATACGTTTCATATTGACTGGTAACAAACTGATTACTCAATAATTATTGCTCAATACTTCTCGCGGAGTGATTATTGCCGCCGTCATTAGTAAAACAATTTATCTCGAAGATCTTCAAATCTGGTCAGAAGTTTTCTCAAGAAATAAGGATGGAAAGGAACATGAGGTTATTTGAGATCATACAGCGCCTAACCCATCTGCCATCCACGACAGCGAAAAGAAAAGGGGATCAAACGTGTCGTATCCAACGAACTTAAACTGTTGACTGAAAACGCCTTGGTTACAAGCCTCAATTTTATTTCAAAACCAACATCAGTAATGTACAAATTGCGCAACACTCGGAATTTCGCAAGGATCCGTTAATCACATGCAGATACAATTCTCCATCGAAATAATTATAAAAGCGTTGCTCATGTTAAGTCGCAGACTAAGATTACTGCAATCATGAGTATAATAATTCATCTTGAAGATTTTCAAAGCTGGTCAGAAGTTTTTCAAGAAATAGAGAGGCAACGCAAGATGAGGTCATTTGAGATCATACAGCCTACTGACCAATCTGCTATCTACGACAAAGAAAAGAAAAGGAAATCGTTCTTAGAGGTGCCACAGAAACGTCGCTTCAGTGAAGGGGAAAAGAACCACGCCAACCCAGCAAAAGTATATTGGCGTGCACGACTTACAAGCACACCATGTGCAACGATCAGTAAGATTAACTCTGATATTCCAGATAATCTGCGACGAGATGCTCGATTCACGGAAGCAGCGAAGACTCTAAGTAAGGAAGAAATGGCATCATTGTACGAGGACATAGTCAAGCCTCTAGATGTCTATTACATTTTGACTGAAAAACGGAGAGAGATGAGAGATCATAAGTGAACTTTACTATTAACTCTAAGGTCTGTACTAAATTATTTTTTCCCAATATGACATTTTGTATGAGTATCTACAACGGTGCGACGGTTTTTCTTCGCTCTTTTTCCATCAAATCGACACCAAAGTTCAAACCAAGAAACTATCGCTTCTTCTGAGTTTTTGTTTTTCGGTATTACAGAAACTTAAAACCTTTGTACAAACAAATTTTCGGTTCAAAAGGGTCCTTCGTTTTGCGATACACGACGCTTGAATTTCCAGGCTTTTGCGTGACACGGCCTTTGCTGACGGCCAGGAAAGCTCTTATGTGGCCGGGTTAAAAACATTACCGATTTTGGGAGATTTTGCTATCTAAAAATTCATTGTCTCAGAATAAATATTACTCCATTCTTTATGAGTTCCTTAAGCGAAGAATTCACGCATTCGTAGGAAAACTCAAGGACAGATGTTTCTGTTGGTTTCCGGCGGCCATATTTGTGTCCCTGAAAGGAACACAAACATGGCGTCTCCAAACAAAGCCTTATAAATTTGGATACAACGTTTTTCCGAATATCTCGAATATGAAATAGTGCACAGACCTGATTCTTGGCAAACTTTTTGTATACTCATCTTCTTTCATTTCCCAGATTCTAGAGTTTCTGTATGAAAAGGTTTCCATTTTTATTTTTGATGGCGAGACAGTGAAAACCACCAATAAGTGTAGTATATACCAAAACAGTGGATAGTGTTTTTCGCGCGCGCTGATTGGCTACTCAACTCCGGATATCCAGTGCTATTCACTGATTCACTTCCAGTTCCTCCGAGCGAGCGACGCCAAACTCGCGTAAATTACGAGTAAAATGGCTTCCCGGTTTGCTGCCTCAACAAGCAAAGAAATTTCAAAAATAATCAAACGAGCTGTTCTCGATATACGCGAAGAAGGTGACGAAATTCGGTTTGAAAGTTTTAACAGGTAAAGCTATGTGCACGTCTGTTTGACTTGAATTTATCGATGGAACCGGTGAAAAAGTTTTTCATGTTTACCAAAAGCAAATTAAGTCTTGCGTAACTTTATTTAGCTGACATGTTCATAAATAAGCTTAAAACTAAATTTAATACTTTCTTTTTAAAAAAAACAGTTTTAAATACAAGAAGAATTCACAACTTCTTTTGCAGAGATTTCTTCGCAAGGGCTAAACAAATGCTTCAAAGGTTTTTTTTTTTGTCAGCAAGAAATCGCGACGGCCGTTCGGTCATTGGCCGTTTTCACACTAGAGACGGATTATCCATCTTCAAAATC